TTGGTAAATACGGGCCAGTGAATGTCACCAGCATGTGCAAGAGGGGTCCCTCCATGCCACCCCTGGAGTCCTGGGGACCTGCCACCCCTGGAGTCCTGGGGACATGCCACCCCTGGAGTCCTGGGGACATGCCACCTCGGCCGGGAGGGTCAAGCTGTCCCTGTGGTGAGGTGCCCCGGGATGGTGGTGGGGACCCGGGTGGGTCTGGACACCAGAGATGGGAAGATCCCCCCCCGCGAGGGCTCGGCAGGAGAGCGAGGAACGCAAGTTCTCAACCTTCAACCTTGCACGCTCCTGGACGCCCAGCACCGCGGCGGAGCGGAGCCTGCCTGCAGCAGCCCCTTCCCAAGAAAGTTTGGTAATTAAATTCAACACCTCCATGCCAAGCTACTCCGGAGCGGTTCAAGCGGAACAACTCGCGACAGATCGCTAAAACGCATAGACGGCTGCGCTGCTTTCATAAATATCACCCTGCACTCACGCCTTTCTAAATAGCGAGTGGTAAAAACTGTGCTTCCTGCCATTAAAAATGCGAACTTCTCTCACGGTGTCTTTGCAAGCAGAAAGGGTGTATTAGTTAGACCTATTATTTGATTCACAATCCTTAGAAAATGAGTACGCCTTTATCCTGAGCGCCTGTAATAACCGGTGCCTACTTCCAGCAGCCAAAAAAACCCCAACCCTTGGTAGGAACTGACTCTAGCTATTTAAATGTTTTAGAAGTTGGCTTTTTTCCTTTCTGTAATTGCAGAAACTTTTCCTAATCTGACATTTGTTAAAACCCCTTATTAGAAATTATGCAGCCGCAGAAAAAAAAAAAAAAAAAAAAAAAGAGAGGGGAAAAAAAAAAAAAAAAAAAAAGAGAATAAAATATAAAATAAAATAAAAATGAGCTGGCTTCACAATTACCAAGTCAGCCCATGCAGCCCTTCGCTATTGTACGGAGTGGCATAAACCCCCCGGCGGCCTATCAGCTCCCTGGCAGGCAGGGGGCTGCGCTATTCAAAGCGAGAGATACAAGCTGCAGGGCAAAAACCTGGCAGCTCCCATCTGACCCCCCAATCCCCGGCTGGTGACAGCTCCAAGCTCCATGGCAAATTAGCCCTTCTCACATTACAATTGCAGGAGACAGATTCCATTAGCGGTATCTGAAATTGAGTGGAGAGCTGCTCCGTTATCAGACTTGACTCATAAGCGCCGCTATTAATCAGAGCTATGATAGCATTTATATATTTCAAGCTATCTGCCGCCGCTGTGATATTCTGCTACAAAGGGTTGATGGGACTTAGGGAAGGGAACAATGGAGCTTTCTGGGAAAAGCAGAGTAAATCAAGAAAGTCTGTGACTTCCGCACATTCTGAAGGGATTGCGGTTTACATAAATTTTCTCCCAATTGGAGATTGAGCTCTTCCTCATCTTACACATGGGATTTAGTTGTCACTCAATGGTAACAGCTGTGAAAAGGTGAAGCGGCCCACCGCTCAGAATATTGCCTCCGCTTTTAAAGCAATTAACCCATGAACAGGAGGATACCTGGTGATATCAAAGGGATTAAGCCAGGCAGTGCATTATTAACATTTCCTTGAACTAATTCTAACTCTGACTAGCTGTCAGAAAAGACTCCTCAGTCTTTTTTAAAAAAAAAAAAAAAAAAAAAAGAGTTTTTTGCACTGCTTTCCCCCCCCTTCTCCCCCCACTTCAAAATGAAGCAGAGCTATTGCAGCCTAACGTGCCTACTTTAGAGCAAAATGCAAATGAACAGATTTGGTAATGTTAATGTCTTCAAACAGACTGAACTCCGTGCCAGTTTATTATGAGGACGAGGGGAAACATAAATAAATAAATAAATATGATCAATTAGCCAGAAGTCATGGTAGATATTCTTCTAAAAGCAAATTAATGCTTGAGTACCTTCCTTTCTTCTCTCCTTCCTAAAACTTTGTAACTTCTTGTAACTAAGCGTAGCTGCTTTTGAAACAGCCAAAATCTTTGCACTGTGCTATGACATTGACAATCTACGATAATCTGTAATCTGGAAAAACCCAAATGTGCCCTGTAAGGAGATTCTGCCTTCCCCAAAGCCCAATATTTTAATTTCTCACGATAGTCGAGGAGACACCGGCACATCAGGCGGGAGCGCTCCTCTCTCATCCCTCCATCTTCCCCAAACCATGCCCCAAAAAAAGGGGTCAAACTGTTTGGGGGCGACTCTTGCTTCAGCAAACCTGTGTACCTGAGGGGCATGGGGTATTTCCCCACTCGTCGCAGGCAGCAGACAACTTTTCCCAGCACGAGTCAGTTTTAAGGGAGCATCAGCCATGAGGTCCCTTTGGTGAGGACCACGAAGGTCACCCATCCTCTCGGTGCTCCAACATGCCTGGTCCTCCTCAGGGACCTTCCCACAAGAGCTCCAGGACACACTACACTGGAGCAAGGATCCTCAGAGCTACGAGGATGGTCAAGTGCCATTTCCAAAAGATTGCAATGATTTCAAAATGATCAAATAATTTTGAGGATTTCATGATAAAACATGCCTAACACTCCTTTTTGTTAGCGGTCGGAGGTTGTATTGCTTGGCAGGTGTTAGGGGCAGGGAAACTATATATAAAAATACATAAATATATTAGCCCAAAACTTAACATGATACCCAGAAAAGCGAACTGAAGAGACATGAACTGCTTAATTTAACGCAACATCTTCCCCCTTTTCAAAACCTGTGTGCAACTCAGCCAGTATAAAGCTGGCAAAAACTTACTAGAAGTGCTTGGGCAATGACATCTTCTACTCTACTACTGCCCCTGCAATAAATTAGATTTGTACATTTAGATACAGCAAAACAGCCAAGCTACGAAAGGTATACACTGAAAAAAAAAAATGCACTTAAAGCAGGGGAAAGCATCCTATTTCTCTTTGCAACAGAGAATGCAAAGAATGCAGCATCTGTGCAGAAAATGACACTTTGGCAATCATATTATAAGAAGATAATTGGTTTACTTTGCAAACTTGCTATGCTTTGCCTCCCACAGTAAAACAAATAAATAGTTGTTTAAAGAAACAATCCTATAGCCGCACTTGCTGCGTCCTAAAAACATAAAGCAGCTCCCCCCCTCTCAAAGCTAAGATGAATTATTTTCCTCAGTTACAAGCAGTCCAAGAAAACTCTTTGTAAATGCCATTTTACGATAATTACAAGCAATTTATTAAGATTGTGTGGAGGGGGAAAAAAAAGTGCATTTGAGAACTAATTCAAAGGAGTAAACCGCTCGTTCAGTGATAGTCTGGATTACTGACAAAAGGGCTTTTCGCATCAATGCGGTTCGACATAACTGTTTTAAGAAGCACAGTCTGGGCTTAAAAAAATAATAGTATAACATAATATATTCTATAAACAAACAAGATGTTGAGGTTGCTTCCTATCGACCCTGGCAGTGTCTGCACAGAACATCCCGCCAGCCATCACCTGGCAGAGGAGAAATCTGTTTAAGGAATAAATTCGATCCTAATCCCGCACGCGCCGTAACATCCCAACCACCACCCAGCCACGGAGGGAACCGCGACTCTTTCCTTAAGCAGTAAATGAAATTGTCCCGACCTGCCGAGGAATAAACTCGGGAAATGCCTCTTAAACAAAAAGAGTCAACGGGGAAAAAAAAGGGAGAGATTTACTGTACGGGGATGCTGGGAGACACAGAAAAAACCCCGCGAGGGTAAACAGCAGCCCTGCCCGGCTGGTGGGGAGAAAAGAAAGGTTTTAGAGGTTAAGTTCAGGTCAGACGACAAATGAAATTGTAACAACCCAACTGACATTGTGTAATGTCTTCTTCCACTCGATCAATAGGGCAGCATCAGCCCCATTACCATAGAGATGGCTTCCTCCCCGCTGAAGGGTGGCTATTGTTTGAGGAGAGAGATTTGCCACTTGAACTGTGTTCCTCCCGAAGGATGTGTACTTCATCAATTATTTGTATTCCTAACATCTACATATTTTCATATTAACATCCACATTTCATGCGGCAAGAGGAGCAGGTGCTTATTTTTCCTCTGGTACCTCGCGGGGGTCACTCCACCAGCTAAATTGTAATTAAAACACAAAAATGTGAGGGGATTTGATAGACCAGTTTAGATCCTTTGTGAGTACAGACAAGCCCGGTTAAAACCGAAACACATCCCCTTCAGATAGTTACAGCTTTCACGCAGATGGTGCCAGTAAACACTTCCTGAAAGATTTTTTTTTTTAAAGTAGATGGCAGTGGAAAGAAAAAAAAAAAACACAAACTTTTTTGCTAAATCAATGTCGTAAAAAACACATCTATTTTAAAGTGCTTAAAAGGAAGGATATAACATTGTAATTTGGAAATAAAATTGACCCACAATACATTACAATTAATTTTGAAAAAATCAATTGCTGCTAGGCTGAATAATTGATCCTGTCAATACCTTGTATCTGTGAAATAATTTTCTATAACTCCTAACAATTTCTATCATCTCTCAGTTCCAGGTTTTTTGTTCTTTTGTGCAAGTTTTAAATTTGACAGAAGCAACATCTTCCAAATCCAATTAAACAACAACAACAAAAATGAAACCTCTAGAAGTATAAAAATAATTCCCAAATTTAGCCTGTCATTTCTCTCCTATATTCTTATTTCTCTAAAGCAACGATCACATCATTTCATATGCACAAAATGAGTGCATAAGGAACTGTCACATTGGAGAAAAAACTAAGTGGGGCAGATCTTCACAGTAACTGTAATAAAGGGAATAACCGCAATTAAAAAAAATTCAGAACCCAGTATTTAAAATCTTTAGCAACTCCTTGCAGGAGTTTTGAATATAATCAAAACGAGTTGCGCTCTGATGCTGCGCCTGGCGCTGTGCATGGGAGGACAGCACCACTTCCAGCTCCCTAAATACTCTGTAAAATACAGGATATTAAATTAAATAACGCTGACTTAATTACATGTATTACCCAACAGTAAAAGCAATCACTTTTAAATACCTACAGAAATATTTAGGAATTACTTAAGCAATTCCAGCAGGTGTGCTTTGGAGCTGATGCACTGCTACGTGAAAGGTGATGTGCAAAAAGCAATTCCTCTTCAGCAGAGGAAGATGCACCCGGACAGACGGACCTGTGGACCAAAGTTTAAGCAAGCTCAGGGTTCTCGGGCTGTGCAGGATCTGGCTCCCCCCCCCCATTTATTCCTGCTTTTATTTCTAGGTTGCTCTTGCTCTCTGGGAAAGTTTCCCCAAAGGGTGATGCAGCTCTGGAAAGAGGTGGGAGAAAAGGGCTTTTGTCAAAATAATCTCGGTTAGGAAGCGCCTTGTCTCACCCCAAAGTGCCCCGATATCATTTCAGATTTCACTGTTTGCAGCCTGAAAACTTGCCCTATTTTCCCTGCGAAAGAACATCAGAAATTGTTTGTACGGGTTGCGATAATCCTCTCAAATATGGGTCAGGCTGAGGTTAAGAGCAGCCAGGACTTGCCCATCACAGACGAGCGGGGTTGACAAAACCCCCCAACCACGTGCGCATCGCGATTGTTCCCTTTCCTCCCAAGGTTTGAGGTCTGGAGAGATCGGGCGGGCTCCGGCCGGTCCCCCCCCGCTGCAGACGGCAGCACCTACGCCAGGGGCCGGCCCCGACGCTCGCCCTGGCCCGTGGGTACCACCGGCAGGCAACTGCCCATCCGCCGCCGGGAGCTGCGATTAAACCAAGCGCGCCGTCTCCCGATAGGTGAAGCTCACCCTGTTAATTTAAACAGACCATCTGCATCTTTCGAGAACGACAAACTTCATTAGTTCTGGTTAGTTAAACCGAGCGGTGATTTGTGATAATGAGCCTGAACAACCTGTCACGTCTGTGTAAGGGAAAGGGCGCACTTTTTATTATTATTATTATTATTTAACAGAAAGAAGGGGGGGTAAAAAAAAAAAAAAAAAAAAAAAAAGAAGAGGGACCTTTTGTGCAGGAAAGAAGGTCAAATTCAGATTAAACCACTGCTAGGTTAATCAGAAGAACTAATTACAGCTGGAAAGGGAGGGCGGGGGAATGCTAGTCCAAAGGCCAGAGGGGAACAGAGGGAGCCTTTGGAAATGTCCCGAGCCGACGGGGCAGCGCCCTGCCAGCATCACGCCGAGGAGAAAAATGACTTTACCTGAAAACTGTGTAAAAAAGCAAAGAGGCAGCAGCTGCTCCCAACAAGCCGCAGAGGAGGTTGACTCGGTAGGCGGGGGAGCCGAGGGGCAGCAGCCCCGTCGCCACTTTGGCCAGCAGCGTGAACAGGGGGTAGCCGGGAGGGTGGGCGACCTACGGGCAGATCAAAATGGGGTTGAAAAAAGGGTGAAATTCTATGGCATCAAAAGGAGAGCAGCACTCCGGGGTCCAGCCGATCTCCGAGTGGCGCCTCTCCCTGACCCATCCTTTCGTACCAATTATAACTCCGCGAGTATTTTTTTTCCGTAGTGGATTTGGCTCCACGCCTCGCCCATAATAATGAGGCGGCGAGAAAAGGAGGTGCCACGTTTCATTAGCGTGCCTTAAAGGGCTCCTTGTTTGGGTTCACAGTATATTAGGGTCATTCAAAAGGCTGTTGTTTTTTTTCTGTTGTTGTTTTTTTTTTTTTTTTTTAAAAAAAAAAAAAAGCAGCTTCTCAACTATTTTATTGGTTAGCAAGTTGAAAGACCACACTGCTATCGGATTACCACCGCGCTGACAGTCCTAAGGTCTTGCCTAAAGGGATCATGCACCATAATAAAGTTTATTAAATAATAAAACTTATTAAAATTGTTAACCCGATTTATTTTATTCTCCCCAGCTTATACAAAATTTGGGTTGATAATAAGCCAGCTACTGTATATACAGTAAAGCCTTTGCTTTATAATTTAGTTTAATTGGATTTAAAACTTGAAGTAAATTGTCGCGTGCTGTACTTATAAGTTAGTAAAAACTGTGGTTTGAAAATAAATTAATCTACTTTACTCCATGCTTAATTAAACTTCCTTAATTCCTAAAACTGTTAATGAGAGCATTGATTAAACAATAAAACTAATACTTACTCCAAGCTCATATGCGGCTGTGATCAGCTCCCCTGTGAAAAAATAATGTAAAACCAATAATTACTATTAGGAAATGACACTCCTCCAAAGTTTTCAAAATCCAAATGCTTGCATTGGGGTTTTGCATTAATTTGACTGGATAAAACTGTAAATCTGTAGAGATTTAACAGCATGAAATTTTCTAAGAATATTTTCTCCCTCTGATGTCATTGCACAAAATATCTTTTGTATGTTTTCGCGAGACTTTTATGAACAGATAAGTGAAAGTATAGGTAGGCTCAGGTAAAGAATGGCCCAAGATATTCAAAATGCAGACAGTTGTGTATGCGTATTTTTAATTTAAACCAAATTGACTCAATAACTTTCAAGCACTACAGTTTGTAACGCTTAAGCTGCATTGTCTCTTAAACAACCTAAAAAAACTCACAGCTTTATAGTTTTAAGGAGGAAAAATATAATGATTGATCGTGCAAATCTGCATCCATGTATTTGGGAGCGCTGCTCTTCCCTGATGCTAAAGCAATCCTTGCAGCATCTGCTTCGCAAGTAACTCTTTTACCTGTCAGCGGATGCTGCAGCCGCTCCCATTAGAAACACCATTTAGATTCTGCATTTCATTTGTATTTTATGCCACGACAAATAACTGCCACAAAAAAAAATCCATGTTAGCATAATAGTTAATAATACTTGGCATTTTTAGAGCACTTGACACTGAAGCATTTTGCAATGCTCCCGAATGGTGTATGTTAAATACATTCAATAGGCACAACAGATTCAAGGATGAACCAAGGGGCAACAAAACTAAAAATTATGCCTAGTTTTCCTTCTTTCCCTCAAATTTCACGATCCAGTTTTACAGAGCCTGGTCTTACTGGTCCTGCTAGTTTTGCAAGTGCCAAGGTCACGGCAGCTTTGTCCCGTAGTTTGATGGTAAAGACAGAAAACAAAACGGCACGGTTGGCTTTAAATGCTAAATTAACAATATTTTACATGTCTGCACATTATTACGTCCTTACCACCCAACGCAAAGGAGGAGGATTGTACAAATGGCACCTTTAAATCTTGACATTACAGTAAACCGTGTATTTAAAAGGAAGATGCAAGTCAACCCACTACTGCTGTTGGCAACTGCCATAAAATTACAGCTATCACCCAGCGTGCTGCTCCGGGGACAGCCCCGCAGCTTTCTGCACAAAAGCCTCTCAGATGTGGATTTTACCACGCTTGCAAACGCCGGCTATTTTTATTGCTACTCTATTTTAGGAAAGTTTCAACCTATGGCAAGACAGCTCCGAAAAAGCAGATGCAATGGGAAAATTATCCACTCCAAGCCGAGCCCTTTAGTGTTCAGCAGCGCCGACGTTTCCAGGGCATGGCGAGGCTGGGAAGCAATCGATCCCCCCTGCACGAAGCAAAAGGTGATGCTAATGAAGGAAACCCTAAATTCGGCATCGCGGGGGTACCCCAGCGTGTCAGCACATGCTGCTCTGCGCAGCGGCTAACGCTGGGTGCCCCATCACACCGCGGGGATGCTGCTCCCGAGCCAGGCGCAGCTTCGCCTTCGTTAAAGTCCTGGGACACAGCAATTTGTGCATCTAAAATGGGGAGAGGTTAATCTTAAGTTCATGCGTGTCGCTATGATAACGGTTGATACAACGGACAAGAATAACCCCAAAGCAACACAGACACTAACTAACCAGAAAGCTAAAAAAAAAAAAAAAAATTAAAATACTGGTTGATGCCATTGCCAAGCTCTGAAAGCCAACAGATTTGTAAGAATTAAGGCGGGGGGGAGGGGGGGAAGTAAGAAAACCTGCAAAAATAAGCTCCCAGGCTGCAGGCTTGTTGAATTCCACTGGAAAAAACAAAACAAGCGCATAACAACTAACACTTCAGATTAGGTTAATTCTCCATCTCCCACCCATGTACCTGGGCATCACGTACAGCCTCTACGGGTGATGTAAGTGAAGATATGGGCTACATAAGTGCAGAGCACTATTATTAAATGGCAAAACACACAGAGGAAGACTACAGCATCCACAAACTCGATTTCAATCTATTTCTTGCGACAGAAAACGACCTGCAGCATCTTCAGACACCAGCTCAAACTGAAGAGTTTATTCCTTCATAACCTTGGTGTAAATGCGTTTCTGACCACCCGCTTGATTCCCCAATAAAGATGTTCAAGCAACGGGCCCAACACTGCCTGAAAATTGATTTATCCTCAGCAAGGTTGGGAGCTGATGTCTAAAAAAAATCAGAGAAAAAGTTGGTTGGGTTTTTTTTTTTGTTTTGTTTTTTTTTTTTTTTGTTATTTAACTTGAGTTTATTTGATCCCTTTTTAAGCTGTTTTAACATCTGTGGATGTTTCCGAATTAGAACTCATTCTCTCATTTCTTTATTATAATGCTAAGTAACATGAAAGAGCTGCCAGTGAAAATACCTATTGCCTTTTAGATTTTTGAATTACTGCAAACTTCAGGAACAATTAAAAATATACAGATAGCTTAAAAAAAAAAAAAATAGAATAAAATAATAGGCTCCCTGCCTGAAAGCAGATACAGCAAATCCTTAAGCAGCTCTTTACTCACACAAGTAGCTTCAGTGCTTTTCATAGCAAAAGTTCAAGCTCCGTGCTCAGGCATGGGCGAGTTAATCACCTTGAGCAGGGCCGTGCAGAGACTTTCTGTGGGACTCAGCCTGGTGGAAGCATCCCATGGGCTGCTCAGGCCATTAGAAACCAGGGGAATAACCCAAAAAGTCTTAACACAAGACATCGGGGTGGCTGCTGGCTGCAACAGGCACAAGGGGACAGCGGGGATGAGCCCATCTCTGTTCAGCTCCAGTAAACACATGCAACTCAGGCAGCAGATTTAATAGAAAATGCAAAAAATAAAAATAATGGGAGGTGGGGAGCGAGGTCACTGGCTAGCCAAGGGACACCATGCTGAGAGATTTCCTCTAATATAACTCCCTCTAACGTGGGTTGCTGGAAGCTTGTTAAAGCATCCCCAGCCTGCCCCCCCCCCCCCCCCCCGCCCCGGGAACCTTGTTTGCAGCACACACCTTGTTAGTGTCCTTGGTACCTCTGACAAAAGTTATTAGCAGAGGAGCAATGCACGCTGCATGTATGTATGTGCATTTCTGTACACACAGCTGCTGTGCTAGGAAGAACCAGCAAGCCTCCAGAAATTAGGGAAAGTGGAATCCCCTCCCCTGCCTCTAAAATGGGATAAAATAACCACGATAGCCCAGGGAAAGTGGGACAAACTCACGCCTGTGCTGCTTGGCTGCTCGCTGTATCTACTGGGATAATTCACACCAAGAAAGGAACAAATCCCAGCATCACCTCCACGGGAGAACCCGCACCCCACTTTGTAAAGGGTGCTAATGGTTATTTGCATCCCGGAGGCAAAACCCAAGCTCAAGTATAATTAAAAACCAGGTTCCCAAGGTTTCACACAGCACAAACAGCTCAGAGCACAGGCACCC